CTTGACTCCTTCATCCCACCCCCACAACCCTAGCCCTGACTCTGGCACCCCCACACATCCCCAGCCCCCCCCTCTGCCCTGACCCTGCACCACCCCACATCCCCAGCCCCCCCACACCCTATGCACCCGCCACATCCCCACCCCCACCTGGAGCACCAAAGGGGAGCTCCTGCACACACACCCCCACATTCCCATCTGCACACCTCGCATCAAATGGGAGCTGCCCAGGTAAATGCAGCACACCCGAACCTCCTGCCCCAACCCTGAGCCCCCTCCCTCATTTTAGCTCCTGGCCCGACCCTTCACCCCCAGCCCTGTGCTCAGTGCACTGCCACCCTCAGCTCAGTGGAGAGAGAGGAAGAGAATGGCCAGAATGAGGGAGAAAGTAGGTACCCACTGTATGTGGGGAGGGCCGGGACCCCAGACTGGCAGCGGGCTGAGTGGATCCAGCAGCCAGGATCCCGGCTGGCAGGAGCCGGCGGATGGAACCCCTGAGCGACAGTGAGCTGAGCCACTCAGTCCACTGCCAGTCAGGGGTCCTGGCCGCCGGCCCCACACAGCCCGCTGCTGGTCTGGGGTTCTGGCTGCTGGACTCTTGCCAGCCGGGTTCCTGGCCGCAGGCCTCACTCAGCCCGCTGCCGGCCGAGGTGAACAGAACCCCAGACCAGCAGCGGGCTGGTGGCGTAAGATCAACATTTTAATTTCATTTTAAATGAAGCTTCTTAAACATTTTGAAAACCTTGTTTATTTTACAATACAACACTAGTTTAGTTATATAATATATAGACCGGGGTTGGCAACGTTCGCTCGCCCGCACCGCTTCTCGCCGCCCCCACTGGCCCGGGACGGTGAACCGCGGCCAGTGGGGGCCGCGATCGGCCAAACCTGCCACGTCAGCAGGTAAATAAAACTGGCCCTGCCCGCCAGGGTGCTTACTCTGGCGAGCCGCGTGCCAAACGTTGCCGACCCCTGGTCTAGACTAACTTTACCCAAGAGTGCTCTAAAGCTAAGAATCTGCCACCTTTTGTGAATGCACTATGGCACAGAGTATACAGAAACATAATGACTATAATCACCATCTTTATTGTGCAGATGCTTTTTTGCGTGAGGGGTCAAAGTATTTTCTGTATAATCAAAGCTTTTATTTAAAAAGTATTGGTTTAGCCCTTCTAGTTACAAAGAAAACCTTCCAACAGCTGCTGCTCTGACCATACAGCAGTAGGGGAAAGTGCAATTTATAACATTTTCAATGCAGAACATATAAATGAAGGCGTTTTGATGTTTTTAAATATAAGGGGCCTGATTCCCAAGTCTGTTGAGAGCACTTTGCGCATACGTAAAATCAGCAGATCTGTCCATAAGGATTTCTCCTCCCCAGTAGGGAGACAGCAAGCAAAAGGGGATCTGGCCAGGGCACCCTTTGACCTGGCCAATCTCTGGCTGCTGAAACAGTCCTTTTGGGGCTGTCAGTGACTGGCCATAAGTTAGAGCAGCTCTTAAGACAAGGACCAGACAGGTCCCTGGTTAGCCTCGGGGTTGAGGGAGCATAGACATGTCATTCAGCATAACTCAGCCAGACCAAAGAATCTGATTCAAGATGATCAGTTTTGTAGCCACTGAATGTAAATATCTACTTTGGCCATATATGGTAAAAAAGCATCCAAATGATTATGTATTACAATATCCAGAGGGGAGTGTAGGTTGAATGAGCACCAACAATTCTGAGATAGTGGAGGAAGATTCTGGGAGTTGAAGAAGGAAATGCGAGTGATTTAAAGGTATAGGTGAAAAAAAATAAAGTGAGAACAGTTTGGGATAGAACAGTAACAACTATTATAAAAGTTAGCCTGTAAACCTTTGAAAGGATCAGCCAATCAGAAAAGCAATTCTTGGTAACAAAAATGCATTCATGCGATAGATACCATTAGATTTCTGAGATCCCTTAAGTGACATATTGTATTTAAAAAAAAATTTAAGTTTACTTACATCCTCAGATTCAAAGACATGACATATCATTTTGTACTGTTTCTTTCCTTCTTGGGCACCAGGTGTCGTCTCTATACAGTCTTGAGAAGCAGACCTTGGCATCCGGCGTCTTGCCATTAAAACAACGATGTTACCAATATCAGCAATGTATGAGATTGTGCGCAACGCATGATCCATCATAGTTTCCTACACAAAACAAAAGATAAACAAAAATGTTCCACATGCACAATATTACTCCAGAAATGTCACTTTTCCCCTCTCCCATATTGTCTAATTTCTTGAGCGTGACAACAGACAGCTAAGCTTGCATCTCTTTGTGCAGTTTATATGGGGCCAGATCCTGCAGCCTTTATTCAGCCAATTTCTCAAACAAAACTGCCATTGAAGTCATAGCCTGAGTTACTGAAAAGCCCTGGGCTTCAATGGAAATTTTGTCTGAATAACAACTGCAGATATTTGGCACACAGGCCCTATTACAAAAAGTTAAAAAGCATCAGGCCTCAAGTAAAAAGAAAATATGTTCCAATATTTTAGAAATAATTTCATCATGTTTGAAAATACATGGCTTTTGCAAACAATTAAACTCCAAAATAAAGCAGTGACAGAAGCTGTTTATAACAAGATCATGAGCATTACTGCTATGTCAGACAAGATAAAGAAGGATTCAACAAACCATAAGGTAACATTTTCCGAAATACAAAGTTAACATTTTCTTTCCTCATAATGGATTGTAAATGTTGTGTTGCCTTCTTCTCATTACGAAGGGCAAATTTTAACATAGATATTCTTCCTCCTTCCTCCTCACCATGTAAGTCACACCAGCTAGGACACAGATATCTGAAAGGGAGGTCAGCCTAGAGTCTGGATTCAGAAAGGTACTCAATGCACCCGTACTCTACTGAAGTCAATGGCACTATTTGCATGCTTAAAGTGAGGCACATGCTTTAGTACCTTTGCTGAATTAGGTCCTAGTCTGAGTTCATATCACCTCTGAATTTGGCCCTCTATGGATGTCTGTTGGCAAATGTTGGTTTTCATTTGCAGTATCTGTACAGGACTACTGAAGTTCAGCCACCTGTAGGCAGATGGATAACTGGTACACAATATGTTGCACAATAGGGGAGATCAGAAAGCTCTGGGCAAATTCTCCTCTCAGCAACACGAGCATAATAAAAGCTAATGTGCCTTAGCTAGCATAACTAGTCAAAATCTTCCTCAGCCGAGTCAAATTAGGGTTGTCAGGCTGCCAACTCAGTTACAATGGACAAGCTTTGACCCCTGGATGTTAGCTGAGAAAAGCCTTTTGCTCCTTGATTTTAGGAAACAATGAAAACCTGCCCAAACTATGATCTGAGAAAGGTATCTTATGTAAGAGAACGCTATTGCTCCAAAAGGTGAAAAAATAACTCTGGAGCAGTTTTTAAACACTCTTCAAAAATTTCTACCTCTATCTCACATCTTTTAGTACTGCATCCTCTTGGTGGATTACTTCTGCCTTTTAATTTATTTCTCTTTTTAAACTTTGTGACATTACCAGGGAAATCTCAGCTTACCATCTCCAGATGCTTTCTCCCAGGAATGTATCATTATGGAACTAATAAAGTTATCCTTGGGCAAACATGAAGTCAGCGAATGTTTGCAATCACGGAAGAATTTTTTTTTTGGTCACTGAACTTGTTTTATCCCGGATATTACTATGTATTTGTCTTTTGCAATGATCTAAATCTTTGCGTTATTGATTTCTAGTTTATACTTCTGTCATTTGTTTGTTCAATCAAAAAGCAGTGATCTCATTTTTAATCATGTCTCCTTTGCACCACTGGGTATAAACTTGCAGTAAGTTTTATTATTAGTGAACTTGCACTGAATATGAATAAATGAATGTGGCCCACCAGCTACCTTACAAGATTCCTCATTTATGAGGTGTTCTGCAGCTAAATAACGCTATTACAGTTCTGAAAGAACTTTAAACATTTAGAATTGTAAAGCCAAATAGTTTTTTGTACTGATATTCTAGGTAATTGTAAATTTATACAGGTTTTAAGCAGCACTCTTGAAATATTTGATTGTTATTTCGCCTGAAGAGATAAAACATCCATCAAATCTTCTGCTTGAACTGGAATACAAGCACTTGTTCTTGAATCAGTGCTTTCTGAATCTTCCCCGTGCCGCAGGTATTTAGTCTGAAATCAATATATTGTTTTATTGTTTCCCTTTTAAACATTTCGGGCCCTTGTCCAGGAGAGAAGGGGGCCTCTGCAGCTTGTGGCCCATGTAAGGTCTGCAGCTATAATTCCTGGCTTTGCAGCTGCGGGGGGGCTGCTCCCTGTTCCCAGAAGGGTGCTTTTCCATTGGTGGTGGACATGCAGTGTGATGTTACATATGTGATGTCAGATTTAATCCAGCCCAATTGAGATATGTAGCAATTGGGCTAATGAGAGTGAAGTGATGGCACAGAGCAGATTGTTGTGAACGGAAACAGTCAAAGAACTTTTTCCACCCTACAGCAGTCTGACATGTCATGTAGAAACATTAACAAACAAATACCCAATGGGTCAGTGCTGACTGAGTGAGGCTATGCAGTCAACCATCTTGAGGGGGCTCCTGTGATTTAGCTTTCCTCCTTGGCCCCTCCTCAGCAACCTAACGCACATAACATATTGGGGCTTTGCCTTTGGCCTTGTTCAGCAGGATGACCTGCCTCCTGACCTTCTGCAGAGCCACTACATATGGCTTTCTGGGACCTGTGTGACTCAAAAGCGCATGGAAAACTGTTATAATCAAAAGAGATATCTTGATATCAAGGAAATCTTTCAGAGTAGACCCAGATATCAGCAACTCCAGAGCAAAACGTAAAGCCTGCTTTTGTCCTTGCTTTCCCTAAATAGCACCACAATAATAGCACCAGTCCCTTCTGGCTGCAGGAAGGAGAAAGAGATGCTCTTGCATACACTTTAGAATTCTGCAACGTGTTTATCATCCAGCATGGCAGGGGCCATATTAGAACTTAGATGTTCTATGTTGATGCCCACATGGCATAGTAAGACCCCGCAAAATCTCAGCTTCTGTTAAAAATATGTTTCTAGTCTTCAAGGTTATGGAGATAATCCTGAGATGTGAAACAAGCATAACCTTAGTGTTCTCTTTCTGAGTCTACAGGTAGCTTGATGCACTGTCCCTGTGAGGTGTGAACACCCCTAGTGTCCATGACCCTCAGTGGGATGTAAACTCAAGGCCAATTATGATATTTTGTATGTCATCAATTATACCACTGCTTACCATTTTTTCAAATGGGGTGGGAGTGAAGTCCAGGGGGTCAAATTGGGAGATACTGCAGGGAAGGAAATGCAGAAGGGAAAAAAGGAAGAGACATACAAGAATAGGTGAAAGAAAGAAACAGAGAACGGTGGATAAGTGAGGAAGAAATAAAAGGGTGGAAACAGCAGTGGTCCTACAAGTGAGATTGTTTTCCACTATGCAATGCTGAATGTGACATATAACTAAAAAAGTTTAGTGATTACATAAGGCCATATTCTGCCCCTGACCCTTGTGTAATTGTCACAGTGGCAGCAGTGGGAACTCTGCCGTGGATTGAAGGTCATATATAGTGGAAAATGTATGTCCTGGACCACAACCCATAATTTTAAAATGCAATTTGATCCACTCCAAAGAATGATTTGATCCTTCCACCCCTTCTCTAGCTATTCATTAGTTAATTCTTGTCCTTATGGAGGTAAGGAGCCACATATCTGGGTATTTATCTATCAAATTACAATGCTTCTCTCCCAGGCCTGAGAGAACAGAAGAGTTTTTCAGGTCAGGAAGAACAATTGTTTTAAGAACCATAATACAGTGTAACTTGACAGAGCTAGAAAAATACCAACACTGATAACTTATCGGAACGACCTGGTCTATAGATTTTTCTAATCTCTTTTTTCCAGACACTATTCTTAAAATGCTTTTAATAATTCTTTTCAGTCTGAAATAAAACATTCTGTGTTTATCCCTAAATTGCGATAGATGAAATGTGATGATGACCACAGAAGGGCTTGGGGGTTTCTGTGAAAATCTGCAGGGTCCAGCAGCATCTATAAAGCTTCTCTCAGTGGAGGGGAAAATGTATTATAATGGACATCTCCCAGCAGGCGATGGGAACTCTGCAGGGAGAGTTGTTTTTCAGGAGACTGTTCCAAGTATCCAAATCATACACACAAGGTTCACAAGAAAGAATGGAGTGGGGAAATAAATACATCTATGCATTTAGAGTTTCTGTCCCCCATGTCCACCACCCACGAGCAGGTCAGATTTTTTCCCTCCCAATCCTAAAAGTAGATTCTCTCCTGCTTCCCCCCACACCTTTCCATTGTTTACTACAACTAAATGTGGAACTAAACTGTATTAACTGCACTTGTCCACCTTTCTTTCTCTTCCTCCATCTCCATATTTTTTCTCCTTTTCTCTCTGCATCATTGCTCTTTTCTCTGCTCTCAGGGTATGTCTACACTACCCGTCGGATCGGTGGGCAGCAATCGATCCAGCGGGGGTCGATTTCTCGTGTCTAGTCTAGACGCAACAAATCGACCCCCGTGCGCTCTCCCGTCAACTCCTTACTCTAGCTCAGTGAGTGGCGCAGGCAGAGTTGACGGGGGAATGGTAGTAGTCAATTTATCGCAGTGAAGACACCATGGTAAGTCAAAGTACGTCGACTTCACCTACGTTATTCACATAGCTGAAGTTGCGTAACTTAGATCGATTCCCCCCACCCCACCCAGTGTAGACCAGGCCTCAGTATCCCCTCCCATTACTTTCCCCCTTCTCTCCTTGTTTCTCTCCCTATCTCCCTGTCCCTAAATCCCCCATTTGTCTTCTCTCCCCTAATCTCTCCATCCCTTCCTATCTGGATCCTTAATCTTTCCCTCTTCCCTATCCCAAGTCTCCCTATCCCAAACCTCTCACCCATATCTCTTTCCTTGGAAAACCAAATATATCCTCCCCCCACCCCCAGACCTGGTTCTCCTTCTCCCAAATGGCCATCTGGGTTCCCCTTCATCCAAATCTCCTTGCCTCTATATGTGTTGCTCTCCTAGAAGTCCCTGTTGCTACTCCTCATGGATTTGTTTCCCATATCCTGGTTCCCTGATTTCTTCATTCTCCCTTTCATATGTTCCGTTTTTCCTTCTTCTTTGGTGGCTCCCTCCTCTCCCCTTTTTACCAGGGAAAAAGGACTGTGGCTACTCTGAGGGTCAGTTGATTAAATCTGAAGCAGATCTCAAAGGAGGGTTGGGGGCGGGGGCAGGGGCAGAGGGGCTGCATGTTCTCCCACAGCCCTCCTGGTGGCTGATGGCTGCCAGGAACTAAATAGGAGCTGGGAGCCTTTACCTGTACAGTTCCTGTGGCTGCACTGTGGGAGCACGAGTCAGAGAGCTAGACAACTCAGAGACCTTCATAGGACCACTCCCTAGGGTGGACACTGACTCAGAATACTAGACGCTCCAGTACTTCTGGAATGGCGTGGACACGCCCCCGCCTGCGTGACCCCACACACACGGTGTGTGTGAGATCACATCAGTGGGGGCAGAGCAGAACACTCTGAAAAATGGTATCCCATTGAACATCAGCTTTACCAGTGACTGGGTTGTGGAGTCAGGGCATGTAGATTTGCCAACCTCATGTTGTTCCTCACCTCTCCTGCTGCTTCACTATCCCAGCTTTTCCACATTGTGAATATGAGAAGCAGGAGATGGTTGCTGTGGCACTTGTGCCAATTTCACTCCCGGACTGCAAGCCCAGCCCACAGAGCAGAGCAGCTAGAGATCAGAAGTATGGCACTCTGTCAAAAGCGGGGTTATTTCTAACACATGAGTTGAACAGGTGGTCACACAGAGCTGAAAATATCACGTGTGAGTGACTTCAGGCTGGTAGGGGCAACCATTTGCTAGTTTTGCCTATGGCAACAAACTCACTAGAACCACGGGTCCAAGGTGACAATATGCCTTACTGCCACTACTGACCCAGTTCAAACCCCAGCATAAATCAAGTTAGATGTCTTGTGACAATTTTTTAGTGAAATTATAATTCTTTTAAACTAGTTAGTACCACCAGATGCTTCCATGCATGACATACAATAAAATTACATAAGGGTTAGAACACTGAATTAATGATTGCAGAAAGTGGTTTTATATAATTGACAGATATAAAACTGCACACTGCCTGTGCCAGCTGCTACACCAGTTGATATAGAGCCACAGTAATGAAGCCAGTCAAGAAATCTCTCTAGCACTGGTAAAAACACAGTCAAGCTAAAAATGCAAATACTCATCGACAGTGAGTACTAAAAGACAGGGGAAGCAAAGCCTCCGGCTACTTTGAGACCTGCTGTACACAGAAAAATCAGCCACATTCGAAGTAGGCTTTAGTAAAATCCTTTAACATAATCAATTCCAATATCAGATTTTTATTTTTGTTCAATATACAGGGCCAGACTCTGGTACCCTCACTCATAGTGAATAGCACTTGTGGAATAAGGTAATACTCACCTTGAGTAAGGGTATCAGAATCTGCCTCAGGGTGCTTTTGCTTTTCCTTTCTGTGTAAAGCCCATTCAGTGTAACTGCTCATATTGAAATATTTAAGGAAAGGAGAGAGCGAAGTCCATTGAGAGGAGCCTTCATTAAACCAACTGGAATAACATACCAAACCATGTATCATCTTCATCCCATACATCTAGCTACTGAATGTGTCTGCTCATTCACCAATAATTGGCTTTTTTAACCCTTGACCTGACTTGATTGTCTGCATACAATAGACATGTTAAATGTATGTCGTAACAATGAAGACAGATTTTGCTATCAATGCTATAAGCATTGATAACATGCTCTGCATTGTACAAGACAAAGCACTTTTACCATCAAGCGGGAAAAAATATAGGCCTGAATCAGTACGGCTACTGCTGGTCAGCACTGAAGTGCATTGGCAGAGCTGGGTATGGTAGATTGCAATGCAGCTGCCACATTACATGGTATATTCTACTCTTCGGCTGTGCAAATATGGAAAGTTTATAGTACGTCCACATTAAAAGAAAAGTACACTGGCTTCAGCCAGTAGTGTTAATTCCTTACTTTAACAAGTACTAGAACTACCCAGATTGTACCTATAGAATAAAAACAAAACAAAACAATTGGGGGGGGGGGAATACTTCCATACCACCTGGTAAATCTCCAGCCTCTAAGAGCTCTAGCTATTCATCTACTCTTGACATGTTCTCGAGTATTAGGGAGTTATTCTCAGGATGTATGATTACAGTCAGTCAAGACAAGACAGCCACTCCATATATTCATTAGAGAATAATGGAAAGCATTAAGTCCGTCATCACTGAACAACCTTACGAGGTGGCCTGTAACACAGCTATAGTTGTTAATTCAGCAGTTGCCATTTCTGCAGTAGTCTTGCTAATGTACCAGGTACATAACATTCCAGTGCAGGTGGCTTCAAAACCAAGTTTTATGATAATCATAATGCTGGTTGTAAAAATGAGCACAATAAGCCGACAATTTGGGTATGAAAGTTTGTCCTGAGCCCACTGAATGAAACTATTATAGTACATTCCTTGCTGCTATATATGCCTTCTAATTTTGTTGGTGGGGATTTTCCACCCTTTTTCCTGATCTCCCCACAGTGTGAGAGATTTTTATCCTACTTAAAATTTAGATTCTATTTACTAAATTAAATTTCATTAGATTGTAAGTTCTTCAGGACAAAGACAATCTTTTACTATGTGTAGGTACAACACACATCAAGCACAACAAGGCCCCAATCTCGGTCATAGCCTCTAGACACTACCGTAATATTGTAATAAATAATAGACCTTGGGGAGGAAGGATGACAATTCAGATACAGTTTCTTGAAAATCGGGAAGTTAAATGGAGAGAAATGAAGGGCTTGGTTAAAGTGGCAAATGACCTTTTTAGACAAAAGAGAGTGGAACAAAGAACCAGATCTGAAACTCAGGATAGCTCTTAAGACATAACAATGCTAAAATGGAGTAGGTGGACAACCACACATGAATCTTGAAAGGCTTCAGGATTTTAACCTAACTGGTTTTACACCTTGATAATATGCAGGTTTCTTCCCAAAAAAGAAAACACAGCAAAATAAAATAATAATAATAGTAATAATAATAATGAAAAAACCCCAAACCCTCAGCATAAAAATAAAATACTGAGAAATGGCAACTTTGACAAATATTTGACAAATATTGACAAATGCCCATATGGTGTATCCTTTCCAAATGCTAGTATCCATTTCAGTGGTGTGTTTAACCACATATCCAGTAAAGACAATTCTTTCTCAACATGTGACAACATGTTATTCTAAAGTGAGAGCCATTGTGTAAAATCAGCAATATTTTTTAAGCATTATGATTAAACATACCTGTGTATCTGCATTCAGAACTTTAATCCTCTGTGTGGAGATGAACAGATCCACTTCAGTCAAGGCCTGGGAATCTCCCTCAGAAGTCTAAAAGACAGTCGCATTGTAACAAAGGGAATTTTAATTTTCTATTTAAAGTGACATCTCCACTGATCACTTCAAGCAAAATGTAATGTTGAACAACTACATTGCTGAGCTACTACAAAGACAGCTATTCAAAGGTGTTTCCATATACATGCAAATTTAGTATTAGAGGACATTTACTGCCGAGGAAGAGATGTTTTTATTTTGTGGGTGAGTATGAACTTTCAGAGCTCATGGATGGTGCTGAATTGACGTCCTCTATTTATTGACATAACTGGAGAAATGGCATGGATACTTTCCCACACTGTCTCATCTGCATGCCTCATCCCTGTTCTTGAGGCACCACCAATAGACATCAGAGAGTAGTCTATTCTCCATACCTATTCAGTCCTTGCCATTGGTACTGGAATTACTAATAAGGATGCAAATCAGAGCTAATTGTTGTGAGAATCCAGTAGGGTGTGTGTAAAAGAATTCCATGACTTTAGGAGGCGCCTGATATTTTAACTGCCTTGTGAGAGGTGGAAATGGCAGAAGTGCTAAATGATCTTTTTGTTTCAGTTTTCACCAAAAAGTTTAGTAGAGATTGGACATCTAACATAATGAATGCCAGTGAAAATGAGATAGGATCAGAGGCTAAAATAGGGAAAGAACAATTACAGGAGGGGGTGGTTCAGAAGCAGATCTCATGGATTTAATCATTAGGGAAACCTGAAGGCAGGCCTCTGTCCTTCTCTCAGGAGCTGAAAGACTTGCAAATCATACATTTACAGTGATGTGTGATTATCTCACACAATAGCGGCACTTTGAGCTTCCATCTGAAGCTGGGATAGCTCCCTCCCATGAAGGCCTGCATTTGAATACAGGAGAACTGGATGATGCCATACCACTGACAAAAAGTGATTCTAACAACTAAAGGTTGCAACAATCAACCAAATGAATAAAATTAAAAACCATAAAAGCCAACACTATAAACTAAACTGTAAAAACTACTGCTAAAAAATCTAAGGGAAAGCTTGGCAGTCTTTTGGACAGTTGGGCTCTGACTCCAAGCTGTAAGGAACTGAATGGCAGTCTTTGTGCCTCACCCTTATATGCCCTCACAGCAGAGCATGAGGATTGAAGTCAGTATGTACACTCTATGGGTACTGCTGGCCACAAAGATTCTGATCTCTAGCACGCATATGAGGTGCATGTGCACCATCAGTGGAATGTGCATATCGACAAGCACTCAAAGGAAAATATCTGGTCTCTTCTGAGTTGTGTTGAATTAGGATCAGAGGCCTTGAGGTAAAAGATTCTACATCCCATTACCAATCTAGTTCTCAGTGGAGAAGTGCCCACATCACAATGTCTACCATCACAATGGACACAGAGTAGCACCCTTGTTGGCAGTCTCAGCAGAAACCAAGGACTGAATGGCCATAGAGCCTGAACTACACCTTCATCAGAAGAGGTGTTCCTTCCAGCTGAGGCTTGGATCACTGATGAAGCAGCATAGGGAAGCATGCTCTATTGCTGCCTGCACTCTACCTGTACTTGTGGAAAAAGAGAAGACTTTGTTCTCCAAGGGGTATCAATCCAGGACCACTCACCAGCACTGAATTCAGTCACAAAAAATAAAAATAATGCATTTTTTGTTTTGTTAATTATATTCCAGGTGGGTCAAACAACATGCAAAGAGTGAAAGCCACATTACACTTTGGCAAAGAATTAACTGCATCACTTACAATCAAGACGATCACAAATAGTGAGATTCGCTCTAATGACTGTTTTGACAATTACATTTAGCCCGTCCCTACTGATGTATATTTTGTGTAATTGGGTGAAATATCTCATCAGCAAATTGTGGTAGTTACCATCTTGAGTTGGAAAATTAAACTTTGTGTGCGCTTAAATATTCAGAATAATTTAATTAATACAAACACAATAAGTCACAGTCATATCAAATAACATCATCAGCATTAATTGCTTCTCCTGTTAAAACAAGCATAAGCATTAGATTTTTAAAAATTCTCCCCATCATAAAATTGGCTGTTTATTTGGACTGAACAAACCACAGGACGTTGTGACATTAAACAGAAGAGCAGCAACAGACAGGCACTCCAGCAAGTGGAAGATGAAAGAAATAAACAAGTGTTTCTTGTTCCATCCAGTGGCCTACTATTAAACAAGTAAAACCAAAACTACAACTTCATGAGGATCTGTAATGAAAAACACAACACTCCACAGGGAGCAAGGACAACAAAAGTGTAAACAAACATTAGCATTCAAGAAAAACAGTTTACACACCGCTTTTTTCTTGATTTTAGCCGCCTTTTGCATCCTCTGAGGAACAGCATAAAAAAGAAAGCAGACAGATGCACACAAAAAAAGAGAAAAGACAGTGCGTGAAGTCAGGGAAACCTTTTGATTATGATTCCACCCTCTTTAAATTTTTTTTTTTTTTTGCAAATAAAAGGAGAGATTGGTTTACAAGCTATACAGGTTTGAAGCATATTGGCTTTAATGGGATAACGGACATTGTCAAATGAGGTTATGCATACTGTCAACTGATTACAGAAATACTGTAGAGTGTTGTCTGTTAACAACTGCTCATTACATTTTTTTCCTGCTGGATACACCATTACCTAAAATTGCATACCAGGTACTTACATGTGCACTTTCAAGGTGTCCAAATCCCATATTTATTCATTCAAAGAGATATATTTGTACATACAAAAGTCGTATTAGTCCCAGAAGTACTATTAAGACACTAACATTTCAACATCAGGCTATGTTTATAATATGGTAGCTCCTACAACTATTCTAAATGAAGAGTTTCATGCATCAAAATATGAAAGGCGGGTAATTCCCCTTAAATATAAGGATACCGTTTCCTGAACAAAAGGATTTAAGGAACACTTTGTCTCTCATAACTTTTAGATCAGGACAGTGCTTAATCTGTAATGAAAGAGGTGCTGGGGCTCGAGCAATTTTTGTTACTTTCATAAATGATGCAGCAAACCCAGAGGTGCCAGGACTATGAATTGCCAAGCTAGAGGTGCCAGGGCTCAGCCCTGGCACAAAATAAGCACTGGATCAGGATCAAGTTTCATTGGATGCTTCTGAAATGGACACGTGCAGAGATCAGATACAGTACAGAACAATCTGTGGGTAGAGCCTGGACAACTTTTCAGAAGAGAGATTGCAAAAGGTGTTGGAGGAGAGTCAAACTTCTGTCACTCACCAAAAGGCTACTTATTTTACCTGTGGTCATTGCCCTAACAAGCTGCAAAATACCACTCAGTTATGTTCACTGTATAGATGCGAATGTGAATGAAAGGTCCACCTAATTTCTGTATGAGTGTGTTAACATTTGTGGGGAATCAAGCATATGAAAGAAATATATGTCATTTTAATCTGTTTGCAGAGCATGGATGTCCATGGTAACATCCAGACCCATGAATATGATACAGTTCTGCGGTGACCTAGAATCCTAGTTTTGACGTCTCCGACTCAAAGAATATTTCCAACATACCTCTGAACAGCATACCAACCCACAGAATCCCCCCTACCAGCACTACAAAAAAAAAGATTCTGCGTGGACTCCTCCGGACGGTCGAAACAACAGACTGGATTGCTACATAGATTGCTTCCGTCAACGTGCAAAGGCTGAAATTGTGGAAACGCAACATCACTTGCCCCATAACCTCAGCCATGCTGAACACAACGCCATCTACAGCCTCAGAAACAACCCTGATATCATAATCAAAAAGGCTGACAAAGGAGGTGCTGTCGTCATCATGAATAAATTGGAATATGACCAAGAGGCTGCT